TGTTAAACAGATCACTACACCCCTTTTACTGCCACTGGCACGGGAGCAGTTACCCCTGAATTGGCAACTTAGGAATGCAAAAAGGAAAAATAAATGTTTCTCCAAAAAAAATTAATGATTCACACACCTGTTAGGAGGTCACTTAGACAAGATCAAATTGATATAAATTTCTCAAAACTATACACTTTTTTTTATCATTATTGACCTGAACTTGTGGCGGGGTTAACAGCAGGTTGAAACCATTTTTCATTCATGGTCAGAGAGTAACTCCTCCACTTCCGCTGTTATCACAGATACTCATGCAGTTCAGGAAATTAAATCATGCATCAAAGGTGTTTGTTGTCTCGTGCTCCTCATTATGATGAGTTTGATTAAGCTTCCGTGGGGCCTCAAAAGCTGTCACACATCACTGGGAACTATGGATTTGCCAGCATTGATTTGAAATATTGCTTAAAGCACAGCTGTAAGAGACCCATTGGTGCCGCTTCTTTGTTTTCTTTCTGTCTCACACGTCTATTCTTACAGAGTATTTTATATTACTGTTGTTCATCATAATTTCATCATATAACCTAGCATAGTTTATATTTCATACAATATGAAAATAAGATTTAGTTAATTCTGTACATCTGATCTATTTAAGGAAGGTTAAATATAATCTGTTATTTTTTACAATTTACTTATACTGACTAGAAGTCATACTGAAGTTTTAATTTTCATCTTTATGTTTCATAATTGAGAGGAAAGAAAAAAAAGAAAAACACCATTTTCAGAGATATTTTGGGGGATGATCATGACTTTGTGTTAGGAAGATGGTGTTAATATAATGGTTAAGAGCACAACTTTCAGAATTTGACAGACTTGATCTAAGTCGTGACTCTGCTTCTTCTAGCAAGGTGACCTTAGGGAATTTTTTTATCCTCTCTGACCTTGGATTTCTTTATGAATTGGAATAGCAATGTCTATATAGGAGATATTATTAGGATTAAATGGGAAGGGGATAGTCCAAGTAAAGCATTTGACATACTACTTGACATACCATAAATATCTAATATGTGATTATTGTTATTTTTTGTATATTCATCTTTATTTCAGTTCATAAATGTATTAGTTTGACCCCAGTGATTTAAGGTACATTACAGATATCTACAGTAGAAAGCCCAAACTAATACAGATCTCTCTAAGGACATCTAGCTAGGTGCATCTGTAATCCATTCAAAAACATGACTGGTTGTTTGAATACTCCACTGTCTACTTAGGAATAGTGGGGAAAGCAAGTAATTTGTTAGATTCATATGGTAAATTTTTATTCCATAGACTTCCTGGCAATCTATGGTATATCTTTGGGTAGGGGGTGGTACCAGTTAAACCCAGTGGCCTCTGAGTTACACCCCTAGCCCTTATTGTTTTAATACTTACCCACATTCAGGGCCTTCCTGAATTCCTTATAAGTTTAAATGGGCACCTGGCCAGGTGAGTAGTCTGATACATCATGGGTTAAGGTGTGAATACAGGGGTCATGTAAGAATTTGCATTCCTAACCAATTCTCAGGTGAGTCCAAAATTTCTAATACTGAAATAGATTTTTCTGTTTAAATGACCATTTTTAAAAAGGAGACAAATATGCCCAAATATTTACTAGAGATTTTCAAACCCTTTGTTTAAAAAAAATTTTTTTTGATCACTTTACTGGCCAGGCATAATGGCATACACTTATAATCTCAGTGACATGAGAAGCTGAGGCAGGAGGATCACACATTCAAGGCCAGTCTTAGCAATTTAGTGAGGCCCTAAGCAACTTAGGGAGACCCTTTCTCAAAATTAAAAGAAAAAGAGGCTTGGAATGCCTGGGTTCAATCCTCAGTACCAAAAAGAGAAAGGAAAAAGAAAAAGAATCACTTTACCAATTCTTTCTGCTAATTAAAGGACCCCAAGTCAAGTATTAGGCCAGTAGCTAACTCTTCTCTCCTCAAATAAACATTATTTGGAATCGAGTGTGATTTCAAAATGAAGTAGAGATGAGTGGCAGTCTTTCTCTAAAAGCTATTGATATTTTTAATTGTTGTTATTGGTATAATGGTTCATGTAATTGTTTGATTTTTTTTTCTCTTAATTTTTGAGAGGGAAAGACTTGAAAAACAGCTTGAAAGTATAGATATATTAGCAAACATTAACCATTGTTTTCTAATAGTAATTGAGTTCTTTTTAAAAATTGCATACACTGGGGTTCAATTTAGATGCCTCATATATTTGTTATCTAAAACAGATTGCAATCACATTATTACAGGTTAATTTTCTTTATAAACTTTAAAAAACTAAAGCAACAGGCTCGTGTTTAGACCAGCAGTCCAATTCAAGATTGTGCTGTTTGTAAAACTAATCATGTTTGTTTTTTAAAAATTCATGGGGCTTAATAGAAAAATACACAGAATTTTTAGAGCTTAAGCAGACTAATTTGGAGAACTGTAATTCAACTTTCTCATTAAATGAGGAAACTGTAGGCTAGGTTAATGAAGAATTCAGCTAAGATTATTCATCTTTGTGTCAGATGTAGAGATACTACTTTACAAAAGATAGAACAGTATACCTAATAATTATGAAATTCTTATCATTGCTTCAAATTTTCATCTGTGATGAATGAATATAAAATAAATTTTAAACTTACCATCAGTGTGTTTACTGTGATGTGATTTTTGTCTCTTAGTAAATTATCCTTTATTTTTGAATTACTATGTAAAGTTGCCCTGTTTGACTTGCATGGTTTATTTGCTCCCATGTCGTTGGGCACTTGAATTCTTTCCCACTTTTTTCCATTACAAATAGGATTGCTATGCACATACGTTTGCCAGGATATTCCCCTGTACTTTCTACTTCACTGCCATTAATTCCTAGGGGAATATATGCAAACTTAATCAAGGTATAGTATTCTAGTTACTGGTAATTAGGCTCAAATTTACCTCTCAAGTAACTTGACTTTGGAAACCTAAATACTAGAGCTATGACTAAATGTAGGTCTTCTTATCTTTAAATATAGGTCTTCTAGCTGCTTTTTATTAGGCATAAAATCTTTCACCTGCGTGGAATGAGTTACAAAGAGAATTTCTAAGGCAAAGGAAGAGAAAGAGGTTCAAAAAGACCGTTGGGAAATTTGGCAGTTTTTTAATTTCTCCTGAGTCTAATTTTTAGAAGTTGTTTTGTTTTCTTACCCAGTATATCAAGTACCCTCCAGTTGTTGAAAGTGGAGATAGAACTATTTTCAAGATAAATATACATTTTTAGATAAACCATACATAGACTTGCTTCAATTTGTGCAGATGTGAGCATGTTTTGGACTTAACATCCCATAATTCTTTTGTTATAAAGATTCACTTTCATTTCTCAGATCTTAAGTACAAATTGGAGTTCTTGACTTCATAGCAGTGTTGCTGCTGCTGGATACAATTGTCTTGATGAGAAGGAAGTCTTGTGGTTAGATGGGTGGAGATCTATAGTGGGAGGCCATAAAGATAAAAAAAGAAAGAAAAGGAAAACTGTAAGCTTCAGGACAGGGCTATATAACAATGATGAGCCTGACCATAGGCAACTGCTTGTTCTGAGAACAGGGGCTTCTTTATAATGATGAAGAATATGAATCTTTTAGTTTTAGTTTTAATTTATTTTTTTAATTAGGAAATTCACATGGATCAAATTCAAATGAAAATTCTCCACATCATGATCCCTAGCTCCTCCATTCATATCCTGAGAGAGATCCAAGGTTACTAATATGTGCTTACCCTTCCAGAGGTATTTGGTACCTATACAAGTAAGTGTGTATATACACACACATGAATGGTTCTGTGTGTACACGCACATTTATTTTTCCTCCTCCTTTGCCTCTCTCTCTCTCTTTCTCTCTCTCTTTAATGAATGGTTGCATAATATATATGATATTTTACAACTTGCTTTTCCCCACCAAAACTAAATCTTGGAAATACTCCATATCCATTAAAAAGCTTTTGTATCATCTGCATCCACTTTTAAAATGTTATGTGTCTATATTGGGTGAAAGCAATTATTTTTTTAATTTTGTTTTATTTTTTGTAGTTGTGTATGGACAGAATGCCTTTATTTTGTTTATTTATTTATTTTTTTAATGTGGTGCTGAGGATCGAACTCAGTGCCCCACACATACTAGGCAAGTGCTCTGCCACTGAGCTACCCTGAAAATAATTCTTAATTCATGGATTAAGCCTGGGGATTAGCCTGTTATCTCATAGGAGTCAAGAAATGTTTGTTGGATGAATAAGATTGGGAGTAAATTTTAATGTAAGGTACATATTGGAAGAATCAGGAGGCTAAGAATTGCCTGAAGCTTTGAGACATTTGACCTAACCCTGGCCCCACGGCCCCTTTGTATTTTTTTTTTTTTCTTTTTTTTGAGAGAGGGTCTTGCTAGGTTGCTTAGGGCCTTGAAAGTTGCAGAGGCTGGCCTTGAATTTGCCATCCTCTTGCCTCAGCCTCCCCAGTTGCAGGGATTACAAGCATGTACTACCATACCTGATTTATCATTTGAATTATGCAATTTCTGTTTTGATCATGAATTTTCACATTTGTCAAATGGAAACTTATAAAACAAGGTATCCTTTCTGTAAGATAATAAAAATCCACAAAGATTATTAGTAAAATATGTGATTGTTAAGATTCCAATATTAGACTATAGAAAGTAATTCTCAATGATTATACTCCTCATAAAAAATGGCCATACTGTTAAAGATAAAAGCAGAATTATGGGGGTAGAACTAAATAATTCACTTATTGATAATTTGAAGAGAAGTAAGCAAACCTCTAATTTTAACTTTTTATCAGATAAATAAAATTATTATAAGACTAAAGATATTCAATCATAAATGTAATTATTGACAATGTATATTTTTAACAATATTTATTAAAAATAGTCACCAAAGCAGTAGCTAACAGTAAATATGATTCATAGTTAAATAACTTTCTTTTTTCCTGTCTTTTAGATAAGTATGAAAGTGAAGCTAGTAAATACTGGGATGTATTTTACAAGATTCATAAGAATAAGTTTTTCAAGAATCGTAATTGGCTATTAAGGGAATTTCCTGAAATTCTTCCAATTGATCTAAAAACTAAAGAGAATTCAAGAGAATCATCATGGGATCATATAAAACCTAATGCCACAAATTGTTTCTCAAGAATACAAGAAGAAAAAAAACATTTTAAGAAAAGTTCTGGCTCATCAGATGGCCCAAGCAAAGCAGGATCTGATTTTTCCAACCTAGACCCTAAAAAACTTGGAAAAGGACCCCTGAAGACTGAATTGTTTCCTGGTAGCAGGGCCAATTTCAGAATACTAGAGGTACTATACTTAAGGGACAATAATAGGAAGTGACAACATTTTCAAATGCATGTTTTATATGTTTTATTAATGTTCCAGATGTTTTAGGTGGAAAATGATCAAATCTAAGTGCTCAGTGTACTTTTATGCATAAATAATACTTAAGGGACTCACGTCTTTAATCAGTCAAGTTTTTTTGTGACTTTCAGTTTCATTTCTATTACCCCCTTTTTTAAAAAAATTTGACTGTTTTCATTTCTACCGTGAGAGCAGTTTTACCTATTTATAACGTTTTGGTCTTCATATTTACTCTCTCTGTTGTTACCTCTTTAGGTGAAATAGAAATAAGTGAAATATGTAATATGCTCTATCTAGTGTAGACCTTTGTTTTCTATTTTTTAAAACTAAGACCTGTCTTTCTGATTAAAAGGGTAATACATGTTGATTACAGAGAATTTGCTAAAAAGCAGATAAGAGAAATAAAGTTATCTATAGTCCCCAAAGGATTTAAACACTGTTAAAATTTTATTGATTTTTTTCTCCTTTTGCTTATATTGTACACACATTTTGGGGTTCTGCTTTGTTTTTGTTTAACATAAGCAGTTTTACCTATCTTTAAAAGTTCTCTGTAAACATTTTCCTCAATGCAAATTATTTTACTATGTGGAAAACTATAATTTTTACATATCTATTTCTATACTACTGGACATTTAAATTGTTTTCTGTAGCAGAATGTCTTTGGGTATAGGTTTAATTAGCCCTAGCCTTTATCATTTTTATTGCAAAAGTTTTAATGTGGTTTATTTTGGGGTTTGGTGTATACAAATTTAAAATATTTTCATAGTCAAATTTTCAGTGTTATTCTTGTGATTTATTTCATTGTTTTTGAATATAGAAAGCCCTACCATACCCAGAGATCTAGTAAACTTCTTGTTTTTAAAAAAACAGAAAATCTGACATTGTGAGGAAAATGTAATGCATTCATGGTATTTGTTTATTCTCTTCATTTTAGGTTGGCTGTGGTGCTGGAAATAGTGTTTTTCCAATACTGAACACCTTGCAGTGAGTTTTATTTAGAGTTTTCTCCTACAGAAGTTTGCATATTTATGAGATGTTGAGAAATTTTGAAAAAATGTTGTCATGTATATGCCAGTGATGTTCTTAATTCCCACATAAACAATAACTAAAACATCTTCCAAAAGAAATCTCAGTGAATAATTTACATGAAGTTGGAATTACTCTGAAAATGGTATTTCACAGACACAGGTTGTCCACCATGTGTTTGAAGCCTGCGTTTATGAGGATAAGAAGACAAGAAAAGAGCAAGAGTTTTTTGTTTTTGTTTTTGTTTTTTTTTTGAGTGTGTGTGTGTGTTTTTTTTTAACAAGTTATGAATTGTTCAACTTCAGAGATAGCTTGTTCCTCCTGGATACTTAGATGTCATTTTACACATAGAAAATTGAGTTTAAAGTTTACACCTTAGTCCTCATTTTATTTTGTCGTATTTTCTGAAGCAACACCCTATATAAGACTTTTGCACATCAGATCATTGTGTCTAGGCTTGAGATTGTTTGGAAGTGGAAGCAACTAATCATAAATCTTAAAAAAGAAGAGCAGCTGATGGAGACAGTGATATTCTCCTTACCTTCTCCCTTGTTCACCATCTCACCTCTGTGTGTTAGTATTTCCATAAAGAAGAATATATACCTTATAAAACTCACCATACATCTTTTACTATGCTGCTTTGTCAAGTTGTGTTTTTTTCAAAGTTTATACAATAGTTTTCACATAATTTTTTCTCTATAAAACCAGCCATAAGCACATTAGAGTACATTTCCATTAGAGGAAAGGGGATGGAAATCACCCATCATCCTAACATAACCACTGATAGAATTTTCATTTATTGTGCATAATTTTTAATTTAACAATGTGATCTTTTAAACTTTCTATTATGAAAATGTAAAAGCACTGGAAAATCAAAGACAAGGACCGTGAATTTCCATAAACCCACTACCTCGTTCAATAATTATTAACATAATGCCAACATCATGACACTTTATGTTGATTATTCAGGTGTGTCACCAAAAAAATCAGAGCATTCTCCAACACTTCTATAAACCAAACATAATGAATAGTAATTCCCTAGTATTATCTAATTCATGACTAGTTAAAGTGGCCAGGCACAGGTGAATCTGGTAAATTTACAGTTTTGAATGGCCTTTCTTTTTTTTTTTTTTTTTTTTTGGAATTTTTTTACCTTTTTTTTTTTTTTTCGTATTCTGTTTTCAATTTTCCAGTTTCGGGGCTGAAACATTGCCAGGTTCCTTCACCCCAATAATATCTGATTCACCCCAATAATATCTGAACTTTTAATACACTTAAATACACTTTATTGGCAATTAGATTGCATTTTATTTTATGGCTGTTCTCAAGGTATTATTTGTCATCTCATTTCTTTATTCCTTATCTCTCCAGCTACTCTTTTTATATTTCTTGGGGTAAAGAGCATATTTTGTCCCAATATGATTTTCCAGGTTGTCCCACAGTATAATATAGAGCTCAGTGTGTATCGACTGCTCAATCTCCAATTCCCCATGTGTTAGTTGTAATGATTCCCTACTTGTTAGTTGCATTTTTCCCTCTGTACTTCTCCCTCCAGCTAATAATTACAAGTTCTTTTCCCCTCACTTCTGACTCTTTGCTTCCTGGCTGTGTCTTTCTTTCTTCATATGTTTTAGAAATCATGGTAGCTCAATAACTTGAGATAATTCATTCATCTTTAAAAGACAACCAGTGACTAATTTTCCAAAAGATGGACTTAGTCATCCCCCCAAATCAACTAAGAAATTATATTCGTCACTTTTGGAGAGTATAGGATTAATATTTTACCCTTTCAGAATACCTTACCATAATTAGACCTCTGGAATTGGAGGTTAGGTCATTCTCCAAGGATCATTTGATTCTTAAACCCCCTGCCAAGAGAATGCTTGGTGGTGTGGTAGTAGTAGTGATATTTGCACCTGCTTGCTTGGATAAGGGCCAGGGCAGTCAACTGATTTTACAGAAAGTCATTGGGTGGTCACAAGACTTCAACTTGGGCTGCTGATGTAGTGGGAATTCTGTCTCAGAGGTCATGCTGCCGTCCTGGTAGGATATGTGCAAGTGGCACATGCTTTCTTTTAGTTCCTAGACTGTTCTATATCTTGTGGGTATTCAGTAAATATTCAAAGGTAGATTGCAGAACTTTTATTAATAAGATAAGTAAACCAGGGTTCAAAAAAGCATTTTTAGTTATTTTGAAGTTTTTAGAGGACCATGTTAGTTTTTTAGTTCCTGAAAGGCCAAGGCAGATATCCTTTAATAATAGTGGAAGTAGTAATATTAGCAACAACAATATAATAATGACTAACATTTATTGGGTGCTTACTCTGAGTCAGGTACCTTTCCAGAAACTTTACTATGTGAGTTCATTCAGTCCTCATAACCACTTTAGATGACATATTTATCTCTCTTTTAAAGATGAGGGGACAGAGCTACTGCAAATTTAAGTCACATCCTCAGTCATACAATTATCCCTTAAGTCACTAACTATCCCTTGGTCACACAATTAAATGGTAGAATCAAGACTCAAACCTTCAGCTGTCTGGTTCCATAATCCTCATCCTTAGCCATTATACCACATGTGCAATTTGCATCTGAGTGGTAATTGAGACCATTTCAAACACATGTGACCACCTAGAAAATTACAAATCACATATGTATTTCACAGGAAGCAACAGGGGTAAATGGTGGAATGAAGTATATTGATGAGATGGATGAAAAAATATCAAGCAGTTCAGGTTTTACATTTGGTTCAGTACCAGTTAACTTTTCAAAACCAAGTCTTATTTATTATACTTCAACTTAGACAGATTTTAAATTGATTTATTTAATTGATTTTTAATTGATTTTTAATTGATTTATTCCTAGAATAAATGAATTATATGTGAACATAGTATTCATCAGTGAGTAGCATTTAAGAGTATAACCTGAGCCTGGGTGAGATTTTGCTAAATTCATATTTGTGCTTATGAATTGCCTCTTGAATCAAATTAGAGGTTCTAATTTTGTGCTTCCAGGCCTGCCTTTATGTCTTGCCACATACCAGCTTGGGCTCTCCAGGATCAGCTCTGCTTCTAATTCCTGACATGTGATTTCCACCTCTAAACTGTCATACCGTTGCTTCTTCTCCTTACTTAGCAATGCTATCATCCCCCTTCAGAACTTTTAAGACTTATGGTGCTGGCCCTCTCTGCATATCCCAGCTAGACCATCAAGTGCACAAGAGCCAGGACCATACTTAAAATTATTGTTGAATGATATGGTGACCTCTTTCTGTGATTCAGACATGGTTCTGTACAACATGACTCAAGAACTATTTGATACCAGCCTGCAGACAATGATCAGGAAGGGTACTGGCCCACAAAATCCACAGTCCATTCCTACCCATGATTAACCAGCCATTGTTACTATATTTCAAAGTAAGGCCAAACAGAATGGATTTAGGTTCCGAAGAAACCAATTAGTTAAGATTTTTATACAGATAAACATTCCCCTGCAAAAAAATGGAATTTATTTATATATTATAAACAGTTGCAACTAAGTCGTGGATCAAACTCACAGAGTTAATAATTATCAAATCTAGGATTTCAACATAGGTCTATTTGGCTCCAAGAACCATACTCTTACAATTGTATTGGACAATTTTATTTATTACTTTGTATTCTAATGCTTGGTACATATATGATGCTCAATAAATGTTTGGCAATAACTTAGAAACACAACTAAGAATTACTATGTTAGCATTTTATTCTTTTTTAAAAGTTTATATATATATATATATATATATATATATATATATATATATATATATATATATACTATTAAAAAAGTATGTGGGTCAGTGCAATGGCACATTCCTGTAGTACCAGCTCCTTGGGAGGCTAAAGAGGATCGCTTGAGCCCAGGTTTCAAGGCCAACATAGGCAACATAGTGAGGCCCTGTCTAAAATAAAATAAATGTTCATATGTGTTTCTGCCCATTCGAGCTTCTGTGAGAAGCCCAAGAGACAAATGAGTAATACAGAAAGGAAAAGGAATGAAGGAAGAGTCTGGGAGTCCTTGGAAAAGGGTAGGACTGGCCAAGCTAAGGAACTACAGTACATGCTGGGGGCGGGAAAGGAGGAAGGTGGAGCAATGTTGGATGTTGGCCTTGGAGATTTCCCATGTGGGAGTATGATGACTGCCAGGACCATACTTAAAATTACTCTTTAAAGACATGGTGACCTCTTTCTGTGATTCAGACATGTTTCTGTATAACATGACTCAAGAATTATTTGATACCAGCCTGCAGAGGCTGATCAGGAAGGGTACTGGCCCACAAACTTCATAGTACATTCCTGCCCATGATTAACCAGTCATTGCTACTATATTTAAAATTAAAGTCAAACAAAATGTATTTAGATCCAAAAGAAGACAATTGAAATGAGTTAAGATTTTTTATAAAGCAAATAGGCCCAACTAATGGGGGGGCCTTAAAACTGGAACAGGAGCTTGAAAGTTACCCTGTAATTAATAAGTCTCAATCAGTACAGGAAGTGATATTCAAAAAAGAGAAATGACACGCCAAGTGTCATCCAAAATTCTATTAAAGAAGTAGTTACCAATACATCAAATCTATAGTTTGCTTTCTTCTAGCCTGACCATGTTTGGACTCTAGATTTAAATACTTCTTCCTTTTTCATAGGAACACCCCAGAATCCTTTCTTTATTGTTGTGATTTTGCCTCTGGAGCTGTAGAGCTTGTAAAGGTACACTTTATATTTTCTTTAAGGAGTCCATTTAATAAGGTCAAATTTATTTGCTTTTGAGGAATTCTTTTGAAATTTTTCTAAATCAAATATTATCTGTAACCATTTTAACTGAATTTTTATGACTTCTGAGAATCATGTCATCGACTGCCTAAGATATTAATTATCCTAAAGCAATAGAACTTGTCTTAAATTTTTTAATAACTTTTTTTAAAATTTATTATTTCTTTTATGTGGTGCTGAGGATAGAACCCAGGGCCTCACACATGCTAGGCAAGCGCTCTACCATTGAGCCACAATCCCAGCCCCAAACTTGTCTTAAATTTAAGATAGATTTAACTGGTAGACCTAGAAAAGCCAACAGCACACAGAGATGACCAAAATGGTAGTGACCTACAAAATTCATGTCTATGAGTGTGACTGTACTCCAAACAACTTGTTTAAGTTCAAAGGAGATCAGTTAAAATTAGTTAAAATTCTCATATGGGTAAACAAGTTCCCACCCCCAAAATTGAAATTTTCTGTTAAATCTTATTCATATCTGTCTCTAAAGCCTCCACATAGTCTGGCACAGTAGACATTCATTGAATTAAAACTTTAGAAAAATATCTGAGAAGGCGTTTAATGCAAATCCAGACTGTCCTAGACTATAAGAAAAACAGTGGAAAACCTAAGATATTGCACAAATCCCTGAATGGTAGTGAGCACTACCTTAGAATGAAGAGACAATTTTAACAAAAAGGAAAGGAAATTTTACTAACAAAAATGTACAATAAACACATAGTTGAGTAAAACTTTCAGCACTAAAAAATGACAAAATCATGGAATTTGCAGGGAAATGGATGGCACTAGAGCAGATTATGCTTAGTGAAGCTAGCCAATCCCTAAAAAACAAATACCAAATGTCTTCTTTGATATAATGAGAGCAACTAAGAACAGAGCAGGGAGGAAGAGCAGGAAGAAAAGATTAACATTAAACAGATACATGAGGTGGGAGGGAAAGGGAGAGAAAAGGGAAATTGCATGGTAATGGAGGGAGACCCTCATTGTTATACAAAATTACATATAAGAGGGGAATGGGAAAATAAACAAGGAGAGAAATGAATTACAGTAGATGGGGTAGAGAGAGAAGATGGGAGGGGAGGGGAGGGGGGATAGTAGAGGATAGGAAAGGTAGCAGAATACAACAGTTACTAATAAGGCATTATGTAAAAATGTGGATGTGTAACCGATGTGATTCTGCAATCTGTATTTGGGGTAAAATTGGGAGTTCATAACCAACTTGAATCTAATGTATGAAATATGATATGTCAAGAGCTTTGTAATGTTTTGAACAACCAATAAAAAAAAAAAGTAAGTAAAAGCCAAGTGCAGTGGCACATATAATCCTAGCTACTCTGGATGCTCAGACAGGAGAATCACAAATTTGAAGCTAGCTTAAGCAACCTTGTCTCAAAAAATTAAATATTGTAGCTAGGTGGCACACCACTTGCCTAGCAAGCATGAGGTCCTGGGTTCAATCCTCAGTACTGCAGAAAAAAAGAAAATTAAGTAAAAATTAGATTTCTGATAATAAGAGTAATTCTTATTCATTGCAAACATTTTCCATAGTAAAAAAATAAAAAACAGGGGCTGTTATGTGAGACACTGGGTTCGATCCTCAGCAACACATAAAAATAAAGATAAGATATTGTGTCCATCTTTAAAAAAATCTTAAAAAAAAAAAAAACGCCTAATGGAAAAGAAATAAATACACCAGTAATCACACTTCCTAGGGTGAATCAACATGATGTGTTCATGTATTTACTTCTGGTGATATTTCTGTAGACAAATTGTGTGTGTGTGTGTGTGTGTGTGTGTGACTAATGCAGTTTTTTTTAATTATAGCTTTATTGAAATATAGTTCACATACTATCCCATTTTGAAGTATACAATTCAATGGTTTTTAGTGTATTTAGAAATGTGCAACCATTACCATTATCTAATTTTGATTATGTGCTATAGGATATTTGTATTTTAAGCCAAAAGAGATATGGAAAAAGCAGTAGGAGAGTTGAGGAACATCTTAGTGCCTCTAAACAACACAGGCTAGTCCTCTAACAACTGCCTACTGACTCATAAGACCTGCCCTACTCCTAAATTCAAAGAGGGATTACGAAAAATATTTGTTATTAGATCTAGGTACTAGACTTAATTTTTTAGGTCAGCCTGAACTAAGCTAATAGGAAAATGAACTGGCAATAAAGTGTATTCATATTTACAGAGAGAAGACTCTTGGGAGAAAAAGTAAAAATTTGACCTTTTTATTTTTTAAAAATCAGCTAACTCCTTTTTTTTTTTTTCTTTTTATTCCTTTATCATGACAGTCACACTCATCCTACAGAGCAGCCCAGTGTTCTGCCTTTGTTCATGATGTGTGCAATGATGGCTTACCCTACCCTTTTCCAGATGGGATCCTGGATGTCATTCTCCTTGTCTTTGTGCTCTCTTCTATTCATCCTGACAGGTAAATGAAGACGAAAGGGCAAAGCAAATGTGTAAAGCTTCTTTATCACTAGTGGTTTTTGAAACTATCAAAGCAAAAATGACAATTCTTGAGTTTATCATTTAGTGAACTACATTATGTATAATATTCAGCCTTTTAAATGCAGTTTTTTCTTTTTTCAGACTTTAAGAAAGAAACTGGTCAAACTACTTCATTAGCGAGCTTTCTGTCACTGTCAGAATGAAGTGAACATATTCTGGCAAGACACATACCTATTAAAAGTGACAGTGCTTCAAGGAAATTACAAATTCAGAACAGCCTAATAGACTCCCAAGAGGGAAATTGTACTTGGTGATCAGAAACAAACATCTTTGATTTAGCATCTCCCTAAATGTTCGTGAAGAGGTGTGCTGTGGATCTGTTTGGCTTAACACAGGTCTGTTGATGGGCTTTTGAACTTTTGTTAAAGAAGCCCACTAAGAAATTAGAGGTCATAGCAATTTGTTGGATTATCCGTAGACCTTTATGATTTAAGGTGGGCCCAGTGCCATTATTCAACTATATATGCATATATAAATATAGATAAAGTTGTTTTGTTTTTGTTTGTTTTTTCCACAGTGCTAGGGATCGAACCCAGGGCCTTGCGCATGCTAGGCAAGCACTCTACCACTGAGCTATATCCCCAGCCCCCTAAATATTTATGACTGAGATTTTTATGTTTGCACAATATTTTAAAGCTGTAAATGCAGCTTTTCTCTGGAAACATAAAGAGAATATTACTACCAATTATAATGATCACCTCTTTTAAAATTGTGCCACCTTCTGTGTATTAAAGCATATGTGTGACAGGTGGCAGGACTTGTTCTTTTACAAGGTTTCTTAAAACTGTTTTTTTTGCAGTATCCTGGTAAGAGATACAGGCCCAGATCACCAGATCAAGCACTTTATGTTTGATGACTGTGACCCTCTCCCAAAGAATCTGAGTTACTGCGTGCTTCTTTCTTTGCAATTATGAGATCACTAGGATGCTTTAAAGTTGTTTTACTTCCCAGAGATAAGCACTTTGATTATTTTGGAATAAGAATTAGATTTCCAAATAAATCTGAAAGAAGATTCTACCTGATATATGTACCTGGTTCCATGAAGCTAACTTTTCCTCAGTTTCTATACCCTATTTCATTTCTGCTAATCTGTTAATCTATTGGCATTGTTCAGGAACTAGTAGAAAATGTCATCTATGTTTTTTGTTTCTTTATATGAATAGTTAAAAGGATGGTGTAGGTGGGTAAAAAATAATATTTCCTATTTGGTACCCATAACAGGAAATGTATAAATTCAAAATAAGACTACATAAAAACTATTTGAAATTAGTTTAGATCATGTATTTTCTCATTATTTGAATTGAAAGTTAAAGAAAAGGGGAAGTAGATGTCTTAGGAATGATTGTTTTTATAGTACAGTATTTCATTTTGTTTTTTTAAGAAAATAAATTCAGATATATCATGTCAGTACCACTTTCTAACCTACATGGAAATGATCTAAAAATTAAGTGGATGAGCTGAGTGTGATGGCACATACCTGTAGTCCCAGTTATGTGGGAGGCTGAGGTGGAAGAAATACTTGATCCAGGAATTCAAGAATAGCCTTGGCAACATAGTAAGACTGTGTCTCAAAATAAATCAAATCAAATCAAAGTAAATTTATTAAAAGGGGGACAATGGTAAGTGAAAAGGCAAGGCAGTATCTTTAGAATCATTTAGGATCATAATCATGGATTTGCCCCTAGGAAAGTTCTAGAAGAGTAGCTTGGCAGCTTGGAAAATCCAGACACAAATAAATAGCCAGCAGTTCAGCTAGACCCTGAGTCTGGAGGTTCCAGCTGAAATGAAAAAAAAAAAAATGTAGGATGCTACAGGGGGGAAAAAAAGCTAGTTGTCCTGGTTATTGAAATGAAAGTATAAGATACTTCCTGTAGATCCAAGCATAGAGTAGATAGTCTACAAATACTCATGTTTTAAATCTCTTCTTTTCCTTGTCCTGTCCCATCCTTCCCTCTTATCATCTCCCTCCAGCAGAGGAGAAGATAGCAGAGTCAGCCCAAGCAGGAAAAAGAAAGAAAAGGGGCTTTGTCCCGTTTTTGTCTTGTTCACCTCTTCTCCAGCCTGGTCCCATCTGCGGTTCTCAGGAAGCAGCTCTGGAACTGCAGTCTGACCCAAAACCAGGATGCTCAAGAAGAACAGCGCCCTGCTCCTTACCTTTATCCACAAGCCCAGACATTAGAGGATAGTTGGAGGAAAGGATGTGCAGACGGAGCTGGCTGTGTATTTTGAAGTCCATGGTTTTTATTTTTTTGCATTTTAGTTTCATCTTTGTTTTACTAACAATTACAGAACTTTTGCTATATACATAAAACATTTATCCTGAAAGTGAATATTTTAAGGGTTAGGTATGGTTTTCTTTCATTGACAAAGCCCAAGGATATAAGCACAATATGAAAATGATTTATAATAAACAAGGAAAAAATATATTTCTTTTTCCATTTCGTGTACTTACGTTCCCATTTTTTAAAAGGACTTTTCACCTAATCTACAATCTCTGTCATATTTTTCTTGTTTTCATAGTAGCTTTCATTTTCTCATCATCTACTTCCTTCATAACATGATATAATATGGCTTACACCCCTCTTTTCCACTGAACAGTGTTTTAATTTACATATTAAAGTAATTGGAAGTAATTTACATATTAACAAATCTAAACTCCTCGTTTTCAAAGTAGAAAACCTCAGCAGCTTTAAGTAGCTTGGATAAAGCAGAGACGACAAGGACAACACAGGCTTCCATTTACCATTCTCTGCCCATGGCAGACATTGATAATCAGTTTTGTACTTTGATTGTCATTCCCAGTGGGCTCTGTGAGTCCTGAACAGAACTCCATAGGCAACTAATGCCACTCACTCAATATTGACATGAGATCTGAATCTGCCATCCCTGGCGCATAACAACACATGCACAATGAACAAGTAACCCCAAACACAAAGTTAAGCAATTATAAGGAGTCATATTTGACTGCAAGTCATAGGAGTAGAATAAAAGGAAGAAAGCATAAGGCTTTCCAGTATTGAGGTAGGAATTGAGGTGTGAATAAAATTTAAATAGGGATTAAGGAGAAGAGATTTTTTTTTTTTTTTTTGAGAGAAAACCATATAAGCAATAGTTTCAATAAGGAATAGGTGCTCAGAACCAAGCATGTAACAGTGTGGCTAGAGGAGGGGCTTCAGATTGGGAATAGTAGAAAGGATGTTGGAGGGATTCATTGGAGTCATTAGTAAGAGATCTTAAGAACTCTGCTAAGAAATAAAAATTTGCCCTATGGGTTAAAAATTACAAAAATTTGTAAACAAGGAGATTGATGGTCAAAACCACCATTTTAAGCAGAATAATTCACTGATAATGTGCAGAAAGAATTGATGGGAGAATAAAAAGCATGTTAGGAAGTGAGGGGTCTGTACTAAGGGAGTTCCAATGGGGGAAAAAATAGAGAAAACAACAAAGATGTCATTAAAAAAAAGAAAAAGCACAAGAGAGAGGATGTAGAATTTAATGCCCACATAGATAGGATAGAAGAAGAGAAAAATTACCCCTCCTTCATGAAGTGAATGAGAGTACCTGTGAACAAAAAATTAATCAAAAGAATGTACTAATTTTGGGGAAAGATAATCCCTGTTTGGATAATGTACAATTTGGAATGACTGGCGTAGTTTTTATTTTGCAAGGAAAATGAAGTATCTTCACTTTTTGTCTCCCTCAGAACAACCTTGCTTTGCTTATATATTAAGAGACATGTAATGGTTTTGCAGTTCAGCTTTCGGCATCATATATCAAACTGTATGAAGGATCATTTGGGTGATTTCTTGAAACTGTAGGGCTTTTGAATCTGGTCATTTAGCAAGTCAATGGCTTTTTTGGGGGAGGCGAAGGGTACCAGGGATTGAACTCAGGGACACTCAACCACTGAGCACACATCCCCAATCCTATTTTATATTTCATTTAGAGACAGGGTATCACTGAGTTACTTAGTGCCTCACCAATACTGAGGCTGGCTTTGAACTTGGGAGTCCTCCTGCCTCAGCCTCCTGATCCCCTAGGCATGTGTCACCACACCTGGCTCTTTTTTTTTTTTTTTAATTCCTTCTTTACACAATATGTTTGTTTTTGTTGCCTTTACACTGATGATTTAAATTTCTTTGGCATTATTGAGCTTCTCTGACTTTGTTTTTAAGAAGGTTAAATCTGGCAGAAGATTTCCACAAACAGGGTATCTTGCTTTGTTTTCAAAGGATGCAAGGTGTTGTCAACCGGCTGTCGAAGTTACTGAAGCCTGGGGGAATGCTGTTATTTCGGGACTATGGGAGATACGATAATACCCAGCTTCGTTTTAAAAAGGGTAATGATATATTCAGTTTGGGGTTATTTTTATGTGTTTTAAAGAATGTTCTGTTTATCTATTTCATGTCAGGTTGTTTGGGGTTTTTGTTTTTTAAGAAATGCCAAGTGTTTCTTTTCTTTCTTTTTTTTTTTTTTTAGGGCATTGTTTATCTGAAAATTTTTATGTTCGAGGAGATGGTACCAGAGCATATTTCTTTACAAAAGGTATGCTAACCTACAAGAGGAAATAATTATCTTGAAAAACTCTTTTTGGGTATTATTTGCATGGAGAAACTCAAAAGCTATAAATTTGAGGCTTTAGTCATGATTAAATATTGGATAGCTTCATAGTTTGGTGCTTGTAATCTACATAAAAACTTGAAAATGGCCTTTTTGCCTTTTAATCTTCTTCCAGTTAAAACTACTTTAAAGAATTACCTGCTATACTCTCAACTCAAGTAAAGGTGCAATATGTAATTTTGGAGATATTGTTAGCCTGGATATGAAAAATTGATAATATTCCACAGCCAAAAGAGGGAATTTTATAAGTCTATAGAAAATTACTTACCTCTAGTCAATTTCTCATTTTAAAAAAGCATTTCTGACAGTACCAAATGAATCCTGCATTCAAAGACTTCCCCAAACTTATGTAAGTACTCTTAAAACGTATCATTTAGGGTCTCTGTAAACCAACAAAAAAGCTCAGAAAGGTGGCACTTCTCAAATATTGAAAGCAGCAACCAATAGTTTTGTGTATCCATTTGTGCCTGCTTGTTAGTCTGTTTATGCTTGGTATATTTTTCTAAGGTAGAAGAAACCCTGTTTGGTTTCACAGATTCCTTCACCTAGTTGTATTGGACAGTGTTTCTTGGTATAAATGAAATTTGAATGTCAAACATTCCACTAATATTCCATTGTTCATTACCTCCTCCTTAGTCATATGTCCTGTCTTTGCCATTTTTGTCTCACAGGGGAAGTCCACCGTTTGTTCTGCAAGGCTGGGCTAGATGAAAAGCAAAATCTGGTTGATCGTCGCTTACAAGTTAATAGGAAAAAACAAGTGAAAATGCACCGAGTGTGGGTTCAAGGAAAATTCCAAAAACCATTGCACCCAAGTCAGAATAACTCCAAATTGATATTTTCATTCTTTTCTCACGACTGAACTATGTACCATGATGAAGTACAAAGCCAGAAGACTACACTATCCAAAGGCTCCTGCAAATCTTTCATTTCTCAAAAAACAATAAGAAGAGAATTTGTTTCCTTCTGTCTTATCATGGGTGAGCTCTTCATGCATTTGAAGCACATTTGAGTAATTTGGAAGAGTGTACCACTTTCTGTGTTTTCAAAACTTGATACCCAAGCTTGTTTGGGTTTATTACATCTAACAATTTTGCTTTTCCCTGAGTTTTAAAAACATTCAATTAAATTACTAAAATAAATCAGATGATTTTGAGAAACCATAACCTGCCATTTTTTAAGAAGCAGAAAAATCATCTTCTATATTTATATATATAGGCTTAGTAAAGCATTTTTCCCAGTCAAGCCCTCCTCCGTTGTCATCTCGTGGCAGATAGGCAGTATGTCATGTTTCTAGGGAAAGCTACAAGCCCAAGATCAAGATATATTATTATTTTTCCCCCAAAGCTTTCTTTGTTTGTATGTTTGGTTTGGTTTGGTATTTTTGTTTTTTGATTCAAAAACTATTATGTCTGAAGTGCAATTTTAGTTTCTCTTTCTTTTCTAAAATTGGGAAAGTATGGCCAAGCTAACATTACTTTTAGGCTATTCTTAGATGTACAAGTTGTTGTAGACTCTCTTTAGGACAACTGTCATAACCAAGAAAATTCCTATAGCAATTAAAGATTTATTTACTCCACTGCCTCAAAGGACACATGTTGGTTTACAAACTTCACTTTGTAAAAATGGAGTTTCTAAGATTGGTCTTTCATTACATAATATTCACTGAGTACTTTATGTTATGCTGAATTATGTAAAATAATATAATCGATAAAGATCCAGCGCTGTCTTCAGGGAGTATAAGTAGAATCTAGGTGGCAAAGCAAAATGTGCATATCCTAAACCTCTAAATCATGATATAAGATAATATATGAACAAATACTCACATGGAGAACTCATTAGCTAGTGAACTTTGATTGTGAGTCCCAGCATCTGGAAGAAATGGGCAATTTCTTGAAAGGGCCATCATTGGAATAATTAAGTTCCATCTGTTTTTCCTTTTCAAATTATTTGAAATACAGTTTTCTAGAGGAATAGAATCGGTCCAGCTTAGGTCATGGGTTCATCTCTTATTGAACTGAGGCAGGGCAGCTTAATTGATTTACCACCAGAATGTATGAGTGGAAGAAACTTCCTCAAAGGAAAATCAAAACCCTGTTATCAAAAAGAGGAGGATGGATGTTGGTTGGTCACCATCAACATATCACCTAGTAGTGGTAACACTTGTCATAGTTTTAAAAAGAATCAGGCTTCTGGGAGGAGGTGGGCTTCAGGCTAGTCCTTGGACTTTCTGTCCTCAGAATAAGACAAGTCTTTTGGTGTGAAATGTTAATGATGGGGAATAGTAGAGAGAAGATGGGCAAGAACGAGTCAGTTCGGAAACAGTCTAGAATATCAGTGTGTTGACTTCTAGTTTCAACTGGAGCCATCTGAAGTTGATTTGTGTTTCATACTTGCTATAGTGTTTTATAAAAGTGTTAGAGAGATTTGTTGAAGAGTTGTCTATACAGTGGAATGGAGTGAGTCAGAAATCAGTAGCAAAGAAGACCACAGAAAAGTTTTTGCATAAACTTGCCTTGGTGGGAAGTCCTTAGAAGTATAGTTATCAATTTCTGTTTAAATGTGCATACATCAGTAAATGTAAGAGTAAAAATTTGCCTGAGACTCTTAACTCTTATATTTCATAATTAAAGTGTACATTTAAAAGCCAAACTAGTCAGGAAAGTATTACATACAACAAGGGCAGTTTAGATAAGTTAATGTTGCTATGGGAACCCCAGCAGATCTTCTCTTGTCTCCATTTAAAAATCATGGCCCAAGGTGGTTTTAAAAACAACAGAAGGTAAAATTATTCTCACATTCTCACACATGTAAATTGTACTGTCTCTCTCAGTTCTAAATAGCAGATTCAAGCCAGGCTCTTGACTGGCACAGTAAAATTCAGCTTCGTGTCTTTCTATAATGTATTACAGCATGTGAGTTAACCTTTAGAAGCTTCAAAAATACATCAACCAAATTTGGACTGTGAGACACAAACCAGGCTGTCTTGGGCTTTGTCCAGCATAGACCTCCTATTCCACATGGCCGCACAGCAGGCCTTTCCCGGTGTCTTCTGCTTGTCCACTTAGTCTTTTTCTCTTCTAACTTACCTGCATCAACCTCCTCCTCAGGGTTTGCTGACAGGCAAAAATTCAGATTTGGGCAGAAAAAGAAAAGGGCAAGGCCTGTTTGGAATTTTGCTTATACATATGGAAAATTCATAAAGTGTTAAAAATGTATCTGCTTGGGTATTAGCTTAAAATATTTGATAACTACTTGAAATTCTAATTTTCCCCTCACCTCCATAAAGCGGGGACCAATTGGTTTATGCATAGTCTGAGATCTAAAAATTCATCTTCTGAGGGAATACCATATTCTTTTTAACAGAAAAAGGTGTATTTATCCTCTAATACCACAGCAACAATAAAATATATTTAAAATGTACCCTCCGTTTCTCTCTATTTCTAAAAATTCACTTTTGAGCATTGTCCAAATGTAAAAATTCTCACATGAAGAACTACTTTAGAAGGTTGTGAGAAAGTCAAGATAACAGTTTCTATTATTGCAAGTTTTGCTATTCAGAATGTCACATTTGTCTACATTGAAACACCCAGTTAACATTGACTTCTGAGAACTTATTTGCTTTGCTTGTTTCAGTTCCATATGCTTTGTCTCCAAATTGTGAACACATCCGGGTTTCTACCATTATGTAATTCTAAATCATTGCAGTATTCTAGTTTGTATGTAAAAATTTCCCCATATGCAAATAGCTGCCCTCCTGTAGGCCAAACTTAAAGCCATCTGAACCATCTAGATTCAGGTAAGTTGAATTCTTGCCCCCAAACTCCATATGTAGTATCCTGGTTGTTTTTCCATCTCATCAAAGTTCTGAAGCCTGAATATATCACACATTGTTACTTTTAATTGGTTCTAATGTTTATTATGCTCCTCACAAGTGCAGATGACTTCACATTTGCATCACTAATCGACTTCTTTCAAAGCCTCTGTTCCTCCTTCCCCCCTCTATTAGTCACCAGTAGACTAGTTGTTGTGGGTATTTTCCCACTTGTGAAAGCACACTTTAAATTCTAGAGCACTGAATATATATATGTGAGGTATTGTTAGTAATAACAGCATTTACAATCTACAAGGCAGCACACACAGTACTCAACAGATACTTTTTCAAAGGTTTTATGAGACATTGTGTGAGAAAAACAGTATCATGCTGTGGAAAAAAGTATTGCCTGGGAGTCAGAAAGCATGGGTCCTAGTTCCTATTGAACCACTTACCTACTTTCCATTTAGCTGTGAGTGCTAAATTTTGTATACACTGTGCACGGTCCTTCCTTTAATCCTCAAGCTCCTATGAATTAGCTTTTATTATAGCCATTTAACAGATGAGACTGGGGCTTTGAGGTGTTAGGTAACTTGCTGAGGAAATCAGAGCTATTAAGTGTCAGAGCCAGAATGTGGACTCAGAACTATCTGATTCTAAAACCTCCCCTTCATTCTGCACTTTTAATTGATGGGCACAAGTGCTGCTGGAAAAGGTACTGGAGAAGAGAGGGCTCCTGAATCAAGTGACGAGCTATGTAGCAATGGGCAGGAGTTTGGATCAGACTGTCTTCAAGGTTATAGCTCATTCTAGAGCCAGTCATTCTAGGAAATAAGTAGGCTGCCCTTGTCCACAGTTAAAATTGGAAAAGAAAGGAACAGAGAGGAATGACAAAGCAAAAAGCTTTCAATCAGCTCTTTTCAGCATTCAGCTTGGGCTCATTTCTGCTCTTGCCCCACCCCCTTCAGGCTTCAGCCTTGTGTTTGGCATCCCTCCTAGCAGAGCACTCCTCACTTGCCTGTTCCTCACTTAAAGGAAAAAACCATTCTGTGCTATAAGGGAGGAAAAGCCATTAAAATGTCTTCAAAGAGATTCAGCTCTATCGTAATCTAAAATATGTGAAATCAGGAAGTGTCAATAATAAAACATGAGTAAAAACATCTTTATTTAAAACCTTGTATGTACATTAATGCCACATTAATGCCAATTCAAGCATGAAATGTTGAGCATTTCTTGGAATATGGTCTGGGATTTGAGAGGCACAAAGGTACCTGCAAGATGGCTTTGGTGTAGTTATAAATATAAATAGAAGTAAAATAACAGTTGTATCTTCATTTATAATGAATCCGTATTGTGGTCTCAGAGCTATAGAGGAGAGTAGATGCCAAAATCTGTCTTTCATTAACATATGCCTTAAATGACAGGGAAGAGGTGTTGAAGACAAAATTAATTTTTCCTATGAGTATGAATCAGCAACATGCAGTAACAAGCAAGTAATAATAGTTCTGTGGTGAATTCCTACAGAGAGTAAGAAAAATAGCATCAAATCGAAAAAGCAAGTGCACCTGCAGGAGGGGCCCAGGAGGCCACAGAACACAGCTCCCTTGAGCATCATGATCTCAAAGGGTCTCAGAGCACAGTGATCCTAACTTAGCAAATTGGGTTGGCATGAGATGGATGGAACACATTAAAAACTCCAGATGGTCAAAGACAACCCACCCTCAGCTGCCGCTAGAGCTCATGAAAGGCAGCCTACAAGGCACAACTACTTGGCTAAGAGCTTAAAACAACAGCCTTTGATTCTCCAGTGCCTGTGGTTTCACAACCACTTAACCTTTAGTAAGGAACAGCCAGAGGCAGGTGAATGAATAAATACATGTTAACATTTCATAAAGAGGGGGGAAAAATCAATACTTTAGGAGCACATTGACTTCAAGCAGTCACAAATAGTGTCCAGGTAGCTGTGTCTTTGGCATCCCAGTGATCTATGTCTTTAACTTTGATTTTTTCCAGCAGGTAGGCACTAAGTTGAGCCTGGAACCCCAGGAAAAAAAGAATGATTTTCTATCAGATGTTACCTGCCAAATAAAATAAGCCATTGATTGCTTCCTAAAAAGCTCCAAGCATCATCACTCCTACTTGGGTTATTAAGGTTTGGTTAAGGAAGGTAGGAATTTTGTTATGTTTAGAAAAGTTCTTTGGCAATCTTTCCTTTCCTTTCCTCTTTTTTTTTTGTTGTTGTTGTTAAGACAGGGTCCCTCTGTGTGGTTGCCCAGGCTAGTCCTGAACTAATGAGCTCAGTTGAACCTCCCACCTCAACCTTCTCTGGACGTGTTTTCCATCCATTGCTCCTTTTTGTGACTCTTTCTAATTCATTGCAGAAATTAATTTTTCCTAAGTTAATCATTATATATCATCTGTTGTTTTCCCCAAAAATATTGGTGAAGGGCAGTCACCTTTCATTGGGAAAAAGCACTAACTAACACTATATGACTTCCTAAAATTAGCGATGAGCCATTGTGGGGCTGGGGTTGTGGCTTAGAGTAGAGCCCAGTACATGTGAGGCACTGGGTTCTATCCTCAGTGGCACATAAAAATAAATATTATGTCCATCTATAACTAACAAAAAAAAATAGCGATGAGCCACTGTTGAGTCAATTACATTAGTGAGTTTTTTTTTTATTATTATTATTTTTAATGCTATGTGCTTAGCACAAGCAACATCATGCAATTACTGCCTCATTTCTCTCAATTCCTGCCTCCCAAGAGTAACCTGTCTTTCTTCTAAGGCTTGTGCCCAGCTCCCTCAGATTCAGCCGAGATAGTGGCCCCCCAAGCAGTATTTGGAACTGAAAATCACCTGAAAGAAAATGGCTAAAATTGCCAGCATCACATGCTGCACTGAAGCAAGAAGGAAATTTCTGCCTCCAAGGATAATTGCTTTTTCTCATTGCTAGTATTTCTTCCTCACAGCCCTCATTTATTTTAACACATATATTCCATTTTGACTTTCCAGAAGATGTTTTTAAAGTTATTTCTTTCGAAAGAATCCAAATGAAAGATAAAATTCAGGATCCAGAAAAGTATTTATCTACTCATCCTTTCCATGAATATATCCGTAATCAACCAGTCTCTGTGAGTGTCTCTTCATTTGCAGCTTTGTTTCCTATTAGAACACTTGGGCTCTGGAGATTAGTGAGACAAAGCTTCATTATAACCATCCTTGTTTTACTCCATTTCTTATGTGCTTTGCCTTCCTAACTCACTCTCCAGGTGCTTCTTTCTCTTGCCAAATAGTGCAAGGAAATACTTTTGCAGATCTTTTATTTACTTTAGAAAAAAACATTGATCCAGGCTTTCCCATTCGGGAGTGCTGCTCATTTCCTGACTGGCCTTTCAAGTATGGCTCAGCAGCAACTTAGGGATTTGTTTGCTATCCAGAGAGAAGGGAGCTGGGTGCCCAGCAGCCCTGTGCTGAAATGAAAATTATGTTCTATTGATTTCCTGGGTAAGCAAGCTGATGTTTTCCAAACATAGATTTTTCCCCCCATTCCTCAAAGCTTTTTATTACATTTGACTTTTTTTAAAAAATAATGTCTGTTTACATGTATTTATTTCTAATTGACACAGTAATATAGTAATAGTGCATATTTATGGAGTATAGCTTTGTTTTTTGTTTGTTTGTTTGTTTGTTTGCCATGCTAGAGGTCTAACCCAATGCCTTCTGCATGCTAGACAAGCACTCCACCACTAAGCTACATCCCAAGGCCATAACTTAGACGTTTTTACAAAACATTTTGGTTTTATTTTTTTTTTATTAGTGCATAATAATATATAGAATAGTAGGTTTCACTGTGACATGTACATAACATGAAAAAGACATTTTAGTAGCATTGTTTCTCTTCCAAGTACACACAGACATTGATCATGTGTACAAGAAAATTCTCAAGAATAAAGAACTACCTCTTTGCTGCTTTTCACTTACTATGTGACATGCTGCATAACACCTGCAGGGTTTACCTCTACTCCAATTTCATTGCCAATTGCCTAGCATGTTATAATAGGAGGCACTGTAATACTGAAGCCATTTGGCTAAGGCTACCTCACATTTCTAGGTCTCCAAGGTTGTGGAGGTAATGAAGCCTTGGCTCTTACATGGTTCAACATTTTTGTACTTCACATAGGGTTGAAGGGAGATCTTTTTCTTGGAGGGGAAGTCATGCTGGGGATGAAACCCAGGGCCTTGAGCATGCTAGGTAAATACTCTATACTGAGCTACATCCCGAGCCCCCTCATGTAAGTTTTTAAAGTTTTATGTACTTCCTTCTTCCTGGTATATTTACAATTGCTTTATTCTAGTTATGCAACTGTATACTATAATTATGCTTACATATGAATATAAATTACTCTTGGTTCATCCTACTTTAGGGAATTTACTCATAGTTTGTTACAAGGTCAGTAACTTTCCAAAGAGACAGACTCTAGAGCCTATACTTTTATACAATAATGCTTTTTAAAAAATGTTTATTTTTTAGTTGTAGTTGGACACAATATCTTTGCTTCATTCATCTATTTTTATGTGGTGCTGAGGCTTGAACCCAGGGCCTTGCACACGCTAGATGAGCGCTCTACCACTGAGCCACAACCCCAGCCCTACATTAATGCTTTTTTAACATTAAAAAAAAAAATGTTTGGTCTAGGAAAGTTGAATGATGAGTTGGATATAGAAACACTGACAAATCAGAGATACTGTCAGGTGTGAGTATTGTCGTTTTGAAGGGCTTAATATATAATCTACAGTAATATGACAAATGAAATACCATATTCAAAAAGGTAAGTAGCAGCTGCGGCTAGGGTGGCGGTGGCGGTGGCGTTGGCGGGCTTCGGGCTCAACGCGGGAGGCACCTTAGAGTAGCTGATGCCAGGCAGTGGGCGGAGCAGGAGCCTCCCTGGCCAGTTGTGGAGATGGAGAAAGAGTTTGAGCAGATCGAAAAGGCCGGGAGCTGGGAGGACATTTACCAGGACATCGAACGTGAAGCCAGTGACTTCCCCTGTAGAGTGGCAAACCTTCCTAAGAACAGAAACCGAA